GCATTTGTTAGCCGTGTGACTTTGATCAGGATATGCTTCATAGTTCACTCCGGTCCGCCTTGATCTACACTGTTTTGAAAGTGGCTGAGCCCCCCCCCATTTTTATTCCCTCTTCCCGGCCTGCAAATAGGCTTGATAGCCTGCAATTTGGGGGCTTATTTTGCTTTGTGCTCGTTGCGATCGACCACAGTTTTCCAGTGTGGTTAACTTCTGTTTCTTTTTTTTCGAACCGCAGATCAGATGATTCGGCCATTTTTTTTGTCTCGTCCGGTAGATCCAATGATGATATTAGTGTCTTATTATATATTAGGGTCTTTATATTAGTGTCTTCAATGAGCTCTTTATTTGCGCTTATTACGACGCGCGACATTCACGTGGTTGTGATTATTCTTGGGATAATAAATCCGACTATAGACAAGGTGGCCTCATGGAGATCGCGGTTTTATGCCGATGTCAAATTCGTGATGTTTAGCTGTGTATGTAGCCATTCTGTGAATGTTTATGTACAAGGTTTGCGGGAGAGGACGCGTTGTTGTAGATATTTTTCTCTTTCGATGTTCCCGCTTTTCGAATTAGGATTAATCGTCCGTATTGCTATTGTTAACCGCTTATGACCCGCATGCACGAACCGTGACTTAACGTGAATCGACTATTCAGTGGGCTGGAAACATCCGACTAGTCGTGTTTTGACCAACTTTAAAGTGAACAGATCTTAAGGCAAGGCTCTTGACGGTGGTCTCAGGCGACCGGGTGAGGAGTGGGAATGAGCATGTTTCATACACACACAAACACACAAACACCAGTGTATATGTACCTCGTGCGTCCTAAATTTTGTGAGCGTTGTATATCAACACCTAATTTGGTATATAGATGTGTATATTACATGAAATCAATGGAATATTTGGTTTATACATATAAAGAATTTCGTCGTTTAAAGAGCAAATGAAATGTGAACTGAAGAGCTGGGAAGCACTGGACAGCGGTTTCCCACTGGTTGGATCACATCAGCAGTGTGCGAATCCATTGACTCAGCTGGGGACCGAACCCGGAACCTCACGAAGAAAACGTAAGCACTACCAACTTGACCACCAGACATCCGATCGGACTATTTTTCACCTTACTCATACACGACATAGCACAACTTGTCTTTGCGAGCTTGTTGCGCGCATTGCACCTTGTGCAGGTTTCCAAGGCAGTTCAATGTCGTGTGTGTGTGTTTGTGTGAGGGATACATGGACATTGCATGATGGATTACCTTCCTAAATCACAAACAATATTAGATGCCCACTTTGATGCAATAGCGCAGCTTTCACTCTTCATCGATAAATAGTTTGACAGTGACCATCATTCTGTAACAGCGGCAGGTTTGTAAACTAACGAACGTCCCACGAGTGAAATTGGGGATT